CCACCTACACACATACCACGCTGGCGATGGCGCGTGAGGGCATCTTGTCGTGCGAACCCTGCGCCACATGGGCACTTGTAGGGCTTGTTGCCTGAGTGGATCTTTGCGTGGCGCTTTAGGTCATGCTGGCGAACAAAGCACTTGCCGCATCCATTGCACTTGTATTGACGATCGCCAAGATGGGTTTGAACGTGCGATCGGATGTTTTCTCGTCGTCCGAAGACCTTGCCGCAACCATGGTAGAGGCAGGTCCACTTGCCGGTTGTGGTGTCTTGCTCGCTGATGTAACGCGCAACTTCTTCAGGTGCGATGCCAGTGAACTCGAAGCTCGCGTCAACCTCAAGGTCGTTGAAGATCTGAGGCTGGGAGAATGAGTCCATGGGGAGTCCGTTGATTGACATCGAAGTTTGCGGTGTAGGCAACAGAGCTGGTGTGTGCGAGAACATCATCTCTTGGTGCTCTTCGATGTTCTCCAGGAAAGAGTGCATGTCTTTCTGTTGTTGCGGCGAAGAAACTGGCGATGGCGACAAAGCATCGGATGTGTAGTAAGATGACGACTCGTAACCCATGTCGGCATCTGGGTTGTCAAAGTCGAAAGTCATGGCTCTGGAGGTTGGCTCAAGGTTGATGTCACCCATAGCAGTGAAGCTTGGGTGCTGAGTTGCGCCAAACGACTCATGGCTTGGTAGCTGTGCTGGCTTTTGCGGTGTCGCAGTGGGGGTTGGTAGGATGTTAATGAAGACTTGTCCACTTGAGCCATACACTGACTGTATGTGCTCGTGGAGTTCTTTCAGTTGCTGTGCAGTAGGGGGTTTAGAGGGGGATGAGGGAGGCTGCTGGGGAGACTGCGCACGGAGTGTCCGTCGTGGAGTCCGCGGTGTGATGGGAGAGATCTGTACTGGGGACGCCAAAAAGGAATCCTGGGGGCCCGGCTGGGGCTGTCTTAGCGGCTGCGCTACTTGCATAGATTGCTGTGGTATTTGTCCTAGATTGTTAGTATTACTTACCGTACTGTCCTCCTGCTGGAAGGTGGGTGTGTCGAAGGGTCCTGGTCGTTGGGTGTAGTCCTGGTGTTGGGCTTGTCGGGCGGCATGGATGGGGTCTAGGTTGAGGCCGCGTAGATCCAAGCTCATGCCGCTTCGGTTGCGTCGTTGTAGTTTAGCAGGTGGTGCTCGTACTGTGGGTGCGTCAAAAACAGCTGGTGTCGAAAGTTGTCGGCGGTGCTGAATTCGTTGGCGCTGGATGCCGGCTGGCATATTTGTGGACAGCATTTCGTATGCAGGTGGAGTCCGGAGTCGGTTCTGGAGGAGGGGGATAGTCCTGTGGTGTCCGAAACTGGTATATTGTTAACAACTGATATCATGTGATGGCCCGACCACGACGAGATGGAAGCCTCGAGTTGAGAGATAACGACTTACCTCACGCAGTGCAAGCGGCGCTCCGCCGGGCGGTTAGTATCCTTATGGAATCCTCAGTACAGATGCAGTCTCCCAGTAGCCTGCGTCAAGTAAGTGTGTGGCCGAAGCCTGTGCGTGTGTAGATGTGTGTTGGTAGAGATGTGATCAGTAGCAGTCGCTAAAGCAGCAATCGATAGTTGAAACGAACAAAGAGATGTGGATGCGAGAGATGAGTAGCAAAGTGGAGGATAAATGCGGAGGAGGATATGACGATGTATAATGCCTTACCGGGTCGGGTAAACATTGAGCTCTATCTGGCGTTGCCGCCGCAACGACATGGTTCCAAGGTTACCCGGAGCCGCCCATGCACCAGAAGCGAGGCTAGGCTGAGACTGCGATAGCGCATCTTCGAAACGCACGGGGCGCCCAGTAGCCCGCGAGCCGCCCACATTGATTTTGGTACTTTTCGAATTCCTCTGGTCCGTTCTCCCCGCAACCTTTGCATCTACGTGAGGAAAGCATCTCGAAGAGAGGCTCAGCGTTCAAGATGCAGATCTTCGTCAAGACCCGTACGTTACCACCCGCACACGCGCTGCGCCGCCATCATCGCATGCGAAGCGCCACTTAGAACTCAGCGGCTAACAATCTCGCAGTCACGGGCAAGACCATCACTCTCGAGGTCGAGAGCTCTGATACCATTGACAATGTCAAGTCCAAGATCCAGGGTATGTAGCGACACACCACTCTAACGATTTCGCGTCTAACACCGCTCAGACAAGGAGGGCATTCCCCCGGACCAGCAGCGTCTGATCTTCGCCGGAAAGCAGCTCGAGGATGGCCGCACTCTTTCGGACTACAACATCCAGAAGGAGTCCACCCTCCACTTGGTCCTCCGCCTCCGTGGTGGAGCCAAGAAGCGCAAGAAGAAGGTGTACACTACCCCCAAGAAGATCAAGCACAAGCGCAAGAAGACCAAGCTAGCGGTCCTCAAGTACTACAAGGTCGACGGTGACGGCAAGATCGAGCGCCTCCGCCGCGAGTGCCCCCAGGCCGAGTGCGGTGCCGGTGTCTTCATGGCCGCCATGCACAACCGCCAGTACTGCGGAAAGTGCCACCTCACCTACGTCTTCGACGAGGCCAAATAAGCGCGTCGCCACCGGGGAACGCGATACGATCGACAACGAGTTACGGCATCATGGCATATATGGGAGGAGCTGGATAGGTTTCACCACAATGTCGGACATCTAGAATCAATCAAATTCGTCATGGACATCAGATCTTGTTACAATCTCCAATGCGTGAACCTGCCGCCCAGCGCATACGCTGCGAGTCTCGTACTGCAGCTTTTTAGACTCGACAGCATTACAGCTTCCATTGCTGACTGGGTACATAGCATGCACATTTGAATCGTGGTATCATCATGTCGTTATGGCTGCGGACCACTACCTAACGACTACAAACTGACAGAGGTGCACATCACTACGACCGCTCCCAACATGCCGATCATTAGTATCGAGAATTGCTCCCCCGACATCCGCACAGCCGCTCCCAGTTGAGCGTTACCGCCTGGGCCTGCGATCTCGCCTTGCCCACTCGTACCACCCTGGCCGTTACCATTGTCGTTCCCACTTCCCCTCCCGCCCGATCCGTCGTCCGCCCCATTTCCTCCAACTTGGCCACCGTCACTTCTTCCGCTTGTCTCAATCTCAATATCCTGCATAGGCGTACCCGGTGGATTGTTAACGCTGTTGACCTGGGTTTGGAAGTCGACCAAGGGATTTTCGATCATCGCGCATGGCATTCGTCCGCCATTTGCACTGAGTGGACCGGGGGCGGGTTTCGTGGTAAGCTGCGAGGCACCGGGGAAACGCTGAATGCTATTCGTAACGCTGATGGGGAGGTTGAAGATGGTGTACCGGTCCACGCCATTCAGTCGATAGTTCTGGTGTATACTGATGTTGTAGTCCCCCCTCGCAGTGGACCCCTCATCCTCGTTGTTGTCTCCGACCAAACACTCCGGCCATTCGAAGTTGATGTGCTTGACTGTTTGACCGCTTTCTTGATCTAATATGTCTGCGAGTGGTGGTGTGGACGTCGTTATGTTCGATATAGTGAAGTTCTTCTGCGTAACCGTAGATGTAAGGAAGAGCGTAAAGTTAAAGACCTGGGTGAGCGGGTCGGCGATATTGCGTGGCGGCACTTGGAGTTTGCCATCACCTGAGACATCGAGTGCGATGTGAAGGAAGTCGCCGCCCATGGGCGTAAATGGCTGGGGCTTGTGTTCTTGTCAGCAGGAGAATCGCGCGTCTTGACACTTTTACCTACTGCAAGGATAATTCCTAAGCCAGGTGTAAATATTCTTCCATTCACGATAGTGAACGCGTTGTTGTCGGGACCATTGTTTTGTCCATTACGATTATTATCGCCGTTCTGTCGTCTCTCAAATCCCCCATGATTTGGCGACCACGATCCCAGCATCTGCGCACCGACGGCATTGTGCATTAGACATAGTGAAAAGAGTGAAAGGAACGAGAAAAAAGAGGAGGAAATCATTGCTCAACAACGATGCATGCTGACCAGCAGTAACGACAGAAGGAAAGAAGCGCGAAGGACAGCCTGAAGCAGGATATGTCGTTAGCAGGAAACCAAGGAAGCGCAATTACAGCGAGGCTTCGTAACCCGCGATAGCCGGTGGAGATGTCGAGTGCCCAGTGGCCTTTGCATGATGCTTGGTAGAGGGCGAGAACTGGCTTTCATGCAATATTGGACGAAATATGCCTTATGAGGCATGCGAATTTCGTTTCGAGACGCGTGGTGTCTGAGGAGTGATAGTTCGGCTGTGGTTCAGCCGGTGGGGGCTGCTGTCCGCTAGGTCGTTTCTTCTGTGTCTCGGGCGCCTTCGCTCGAACACAACGCATCGGCGCGACTCATCACTTCTGCGACCTATGATACCCAGCTTCTCTCCGATTATGATGTGTAGGAACACGAACTTACTTCGTCTTAAATAGCACTATTCTCAATCCAGCCCTGCGCTCACCCGAAGTGCTTGTCGGGCCTCCCAGATAGCCGAGCCTCATGCGAAACAGCAACAAGCTCAGCCTTGGTGCCGCCCTGTACAAGTAAAAACCTGAACAGGTCTAGAGCCTACATTAACGCTAGGCCACCTACTTTGCATGTTTCTATGTTAATGTAGGCTGCAAACCTGTTTAGTTTCTTCCTACGTTGACGTGGTGCGCAGAAACCGCGATATCGAGTCCATCACGCCCACAGATGCTGGACCCGTGTATGATGGCCTCATTTCAAGTATTTGCGGCGGTGCTAACAAAAAACAACAACCATAATATTCTCGACGTTGCCACATCTTCACAGTATCTTCATGACAGGAAGCCACAGCATATCGTTGTGTGAACACCTATCACGTCCCAAAATGACACTGTAGGCAATATCAGCGCACTGTCAAAAGCTGCGTTGCTGTTTGCAAACACGTCTAGATCCAAGCCAGACTACAAAGGTCTTACTTCGCTCTCGACGGGCAGCAGCTGCCATCCCTCCATTCAGGCACTGGTTATCCTTAGAAGAAAACCAGCTTCCAAGTATCTCACCATGTGCAAATCATGCAGGTTTCCTGGGGTTGCTCCTCAAGAAGTCCGACATGATAAGCCTACTTCGTTCTCAGCATCAAAAGACGACCCGGCAAAAGAACAAGTCATCAACACTCCTCCAACGACTTTCCAGTCTTGGTTATTTGGTGTACTCAGCGGAGGCCAGGATTCCTGGATCATGAACTACATGAACTCGGAATTCTATGACATGGCCCGAAATGCCATCAAAGAGCGCACTGGAGGTCGAGATGTCCAGATCCTGATCATGACATGTGCCGCTCTCAATGCTGCTCGTGTACAGCTTCCAGTCATACTAAGCGCGCTTTTGAATCAGGTAAAGCCACAGGTCACTAGTTCTATTACCATCAGTGGTTATGACAGCGTACTTTGTGGCGGGTTGCTGACTCTAGCGCGCGAAAAGGCTGAAGAAAGTCGGAAGCTTCGACGCTTTCGCGGAGAGCATCAACTCCGTGCGGTCACAGGCGAGCTTTCGCTTGTTGCTGGAAAGACAGAAGGCTGGTTTTTGCACAAAGGCAGGCAGTTCATGCTCGAGATTCAGCGATCTGGCACTGCGGACAAATCAGAGCTCGAACGGTTGCGCACTAATGACTTCTTCACGAGCCTTCCCGATCCCACAGGATCCATCACCGTTCGATGTTGGGGACACAGTCGACAGCCTATCACAGAGCTGTTTGAGGATGTCCAAAAACAGGTTTTGGAAAGCACAAAATTGACCGTAGTCGAAATGGGAGCGCATGGAGACAAGAAGTCCCAGCGCAACAAGCGTCCTCTTTCCTCTATAGATCTTGACCCAAAGATGATGCAGGACATTACTCAAGACATAGAGATGTTCTTCCATAAAGACTCCCAAGCTTGGTATGAGAACAGCGGTCGGCCCTACCGACATGGTTACCTTTTCGCAGGCCCACCAGGTACTGGTAAATCGTCGCTGTTGGCTGGGATTGCCTCGCACATGAATGTGCCCCTGTATATCATCAACTTACAAGGTATGGATGACTATGATCTAAGGGCAGCTTTTAGTCGAGTCCCTTTCCGGAGCTGCATTGGCCTTGAGGACATCGATTGCGTCGGTGTCGATGTTGGTAACCGAGGCGCACAAATTTCAGATACGCAACTCCAGACCAAGTCTCAGTCGTCAGGTTCTGGGGACACTGAAGAGAAGCCCGAAATGAATGCACTGGAGAACATGCTGGCACAATTCATGGAAAAACAAAGTGTCGCAAACTACAGGGTGCTCGACCAAGTCAAAGCTATAAAGGCGGCTACTCTGGAAGTCCTAGGTGAGCCTGAAGACTTCGCTAACGCGACCGATCCAAAGAATACAACGAAGCCCTCTGAAACCACGGATTTCACACCCAAATCAGTAACCCTTTCGGGCTTGCTTAATGTCATTGATGGTGTCAATGCCACCGAAGGGAGAATAATCATCATGACAACAAACCATCCAGAAAAGCTTGATCCAGCACTGTATCGCGCTGGTCGTGTTGAGCGCAAGTTCGACATCTCTTACGCAAGCAAAGCCAGCTCAATCATGACCTTCAAGCGCCTCTTCGACAACGACGTCTGCAAACGATACACCTCAGAGGCTATCCATCGTTTTGCTTTAGCCTTTCAGGCCCAGTTCCCGAGCAAGTCCCGCATCACTACTGCGGAGCTTGCCAAATACTGCGGTCAGTATCGTGGAAGACCGGATATTGCTGTCCGCGAATTTGCTGACTGGTTACAACGTGGGGCGGAGAAGTTCTCATGTCCTGTTGACTACGCTAATCTGATTGATGAGGAGGGTATCTACAACGTTCCAGAGTCCTTTGATGATGGGCTCCTACAGATTAGCGCACATGATCTGGTTGATCCTGTTGCGGCTGTAGCATCAGGCATCGAGGTTGCTGACGGGGTACAAGGAAATGACCGAAAGTCGGGATTCTGGAACCCTTTCAAAGCTATCAATACTTTGCTTTTGGACTCTGGAAACCACACTGACCTTGAGTCTGTTGAGGCTTCACTAGCAGGCGTCGCCTATACAGAGCATACTATCGAGCTTCCAGCTGACCCATTGCATACCCGATCACTCCTAGAGCTACCGCACACCGACACTGAAACATGTCATATCGGAGAGCCCTTCCCGGAGCCCCTCGCGTTCGGTATAACATTCGACCCTCTAGATCTGTCGCTTGACGGTCGGAACGCACAAATCTCCGAAAACCGCATCGGCCCTGGTCTCGCGACGCCACCGCTGGGATACTCGTCGGCACTTTGCCCCTCACCAATATACGACTTATCTCCAGAGTACGAAGACAGTGAGTGTAGTGATGATACTGAGCCTCTGCTCAAGAGCTATGTCTCGACTGTTGAGGCTTCCTCAGTTTCGTCAAACGAGTCGGCCTGGGATGAGGCGCATCATAATCAGGCTAGTCCTATTCGCTCGGTGGCCTCAGTTAAGTTCTCGGAGCCAGGGAAATTGGCGCTAGCATCGCCTCGCCCCATCGTTACAGACTCCCTTGCGTCTGAACACGAGCGCCATGATTCTGCTGTCGAAGACTCTGATACTGACGAGTTCGACACTGCAGAAGAGTAGCCTAGTCTACATAGTGAGCGACTGAAGAAGCTGGTTGGAAACATAGTTACTAGTAAAGGGGGTGCGTCTAGTCCCTCAAGCCGAATAATTGCACTGTGAGCTCAGGTCAGGCAACTGGATCGCATGTGTGGAAAGATTCAACATTAGTGAAATCTAACAGTATTAAATGTAAATACATCGCATTCTCATACATTCGTGTCATTAAAGGAAACAAAGTAAAAGTCTATTGGTATCAAAGAAACTCGTAACAACCGCATGCGCAAGAGGACACGCAGTCTGGGGTTATTGCCAAGGCTGGCTATCGTATCGTCCGTTGTATTGAATGTGATCTGACGACGCCGACGACGTACTCCCTTGCGTATTGTGAGCCGCCGAGTGTGCCAGTATTTCCTCCTTGCTCCCCGCGAAGCTAATCTTATCGTCACTGTCCTTGCGACTATGGCTCTGGACCGTGAACTCTGTTGTTTTGATAACGGTCGAGGGGAGCTGGTCGTTGTTTGCTTTTCCGCTGGTAACGTGTACCTCCCATTGTTCTTGGTGCTCCGTGTTGGTGGCTAACGCGGAGCGTTGATGTCCCGTTCCTCGAACCGTTCCTAGCGCTACGGCCGCTGACCGGTTTCCGCCGTTGCTATACGAGCTGGCACATCCACTCCGAGCGTTCCGAGTCAGGGCGACGAGGCGGTTGAGAATGCTGAATTCGAGCTTGAGCTTGATGCTGTATACGAGCGGCTTCCACGATGTCTGGATCTCGAACATGTCTGCAAATTCGAGGCCTAGGATACTGAAGTCCAGGAGGATGACGAGCAAGTTGACGAAGATGAGATGTTGGAGTAGGCTTTTCGTGCCAAAGTTTCCGATCGTACGTTCCATACGGAGGAGCTTCGTGGTTTCGTATACGTAGAGTCCGGAGATGATGAGTTCCTGGGCGATGAATACACTGAGTTGGATCTTTTCGTAGATCTGGTAGGGCTGTACGAAGGGTGTGGGGTTGTCGGAATTGTTTCCGTAGACCAGGACGATGATGGGTATGTGGAGCCATATGGCGTTGGTAATGATCATAACCAGAACGGCTTTCAATTTCTTCCTATTGTGCATCACGATGTGTAGTCGCGAGTAAAGCACAACAGATTGTCCGGTGATCATCGCACACCATCCTACCAGGATGAATGTGGCGTAAATGTTCTTTTGCGGAATATTTGCGAGGTGCATGAGCGTGTAGCCGATGGCGTTGAAGACGATGCCCCATGTCGATATGGTGAAGCTCCAGAAGTAGAGCCCGCTCCGTCTCTTGAACAAGGTGAAGATGTAGACATTAAGTTCGAGGAAGTTGTAAAGTGCTATGCTCAGGAAGACGGCCGCAATGGTCTTGGAGACCACGATGTCGACTGCCATCGTGAGGCAAGAGAATGTGTGAGGAAAAAGCAGTCAACGAAGCGAAAGGTGGAGTTTGAAAGCGGATCTGGGGATCGCCTCCACAAGACTTGTTCAGCGTCCAGCTAGGTTCGGTGTAACCGGGGTATCGCCATGAATGGGTAATCTGAACCTTCCCATGCTACCTATCTCGATTTCAGCCGTACTGAGCCGCAACCGCAGGGGCTTTACGACATACCGATCCTGGTCCACGCGGAAACCGACCCAGCAAATCCCTCACACTGACAGTCTGTTTCGTCCGGGGAGGGCGGAAGACATCTCATGAGACCCTCCTTTGCTTGGCGACACATCATGTTCGCTTGCGTGAAAGCCCCCATTGGTGGGAGTTGAATGGGATTCAAGCCACGCTAGCTTGAATCGCAATCAGATATCGGTCCGTTCCTGCTAATCCTCAACGCGATGTCAGGTTGCGATTCGCTCCTGTAGCCTTGTCAGCTTCCCGTAGCTAGCATGTCCCCGTCCAATTCTATTTTCCTTGAAAGACCCCTTGGCTTTACGATCAAGCATCGTATGATGATCTGGACCGTATTATCTGTAAGATATTGCCATGGGTATTACAACGGCCAGCAGCCGATGAACCTCTGACCCCTTCACATCTCGCGTTCGGATACTATACGTGCGGCTTGGATGATCTCGGTACCATCGTCGGTGTCTCTTGTTGTCCAAGCACAGTCGATGGAAGGTTCTCCGGATCGACAAAAAAGGAAACACAGGGCTAGAAGCTTCATGCGCTTCTTCGACCCCTACTAACGGACGATACCAATACTTGGTTCCCGGTGTCATGTAGAAAGCGCGTCGGTTTGATACCTCCTGCTTGGACCTCTTCGCTTGCAGTACGTGATTTAAAGTTTGAAGTACCTGCAGTATGGGGGAAGTGCGGTTCAGAGCTTCTAGTTTCTGTGACCATGTGCCAAGCAGACGGCGTGCTGTTCAGTCGCTGAGCCACGCGGCATGAACAAAATGCGGTCTTTGCATCATTTGATCAGTGAAAGATTTGCGCACTTCGAAATCGTGAGTGTGTATTCCAGCAGCGTTGCATGATGAGACCCAACTTGCTCAGGTGCCCAAGAGGAGGCAGTGCTGTATCGCTTCGTGTTTTGTCTGGTGTCGAAGTGGCGTTTAGCAATGTAGGAGCCGGGAGGCTACCTTTCCATGGGGTCCGGGGTTGCGCCGACTGGAAGTGGCGGCCCTTTTCTCGGGCCTCGTGGGCTTAGCTTCCCCTTATGCTAGGCCTGAAGGTCACGTGCAGCTTCGCGAACCTGCGCATTGGACTCCAACCCTCGGGGGCCAATAGATAATTAGTGAATGTTTAGTGAACGCCACCATGCAACAGCGGCCTGTAGGCGAACTCTGGCCTCGGCAAGGCGAACCTGATCAAGAACACACCGAACGCAGGTACTAGCATGTTGCATCTTTGAATCCTCTTGGGCAGCATTGTCACTTGGGCAGTATTCAATCTCTGGCATTATGCAGCTCTGATATTTCAAATTACATTATTTGTCTATTTGTGCGGTACAACACATTATGGTATACTTTCAGTAATCTAGACAGTGACATTGACGGATTCGTCGATCACTGAATGGGTGCTCCAGAGGCGCCCAGGGTCGCGTAGAATAGCTTGGTCTGACCGGTGATGATCATCCGTCCTTCTCCCGCAAACTTGAAGTTGGCTGCTGTCGTACCAGTGTAGATCTTTCCAATGAGCTTGCCTGAAGGGTTGTAGACCCATACACCATCTCCGGCACCAGTGTAGACACGGCCCATAGAGTCGGTGTGTACACCTGTCATGGAACGTTAGCGATTGCATTCGAGGTTGCATGTCCACGTGCGAAACTTACCATCAGGGATACCAACGGGAAGGTAGGCGAAGGTCTTGCGGTTGCTAAAGGTACCATCCGCACAGACGTCGAACGAGTAGACCGACGCAGGGGCGGTGAAGTTGTAACCGTAGAAACCCATTGCAATACCAGTGTCGGCGACGTAAGCCTTCCTGCCATCAGGCGACATGGTAATTCCGTTGGGGTGACCGAAATCATCAGCGACAACGGTTAGCGCACCGGTGTCAAAGTTGTATCGGTACACCTGCTCTCTAATAGCGGGTACGGGACGGAAATCCTGGAGGTATCCGTAGAGAGTGTCGGTGAAGTAAAGATCGCCATTTGTTGGGTTAACGACCAAATCGTTCAGCGAGTTGAACTGACGACCAAAGTAGTTGTTAACAAGAGCTGGGAGGGTTAGTCTCAATCTTTGGTTCTGGGTGAGATTGGGATACTCACTGGTGGTGTTGTACGGTGGCAGAGGGTTCATCATGTATAATGCCGATGGCACGTTGTCACCTTGGCCTTCACCGGCGAAGATGATGTTGCCCTTGTAGTTCGTACCGCCGTTAGGGTTGATGACCTGGGGGTTTGAGGTGTCGACGACAGTGACAGGTGCTGCCTCCAGGGATCCATTCCTGACTTTCTCGGCGTCCGAAAGACTGATCTTTTGGATAATGGAAGACTTGTTCAGTCCGGTACCCGCAGCCTTTGCACCAGCGTTCTGGACGAAGAATACCTCCTCTGTCGGAGGGTACCACGTAACAGCCTCGTGGAAGAGCGGGTCCGACTCTGAGGTTGCGATGGTGGTCAACGAAGGGTTCTCGCCGATGACGTCGTAGAATTCCTCGTCATAAATGTGGAAAGGCTTCTCCAGAAGAGAATCAGCAGTCACACTTGGCCAAACGAAAAGCTATGTCTTTGTTAGATCATTTCGAGCTTCACGATGATGTAGAGATGAAAAACGTACCGATGTCGCATTGGCTCCAGAAGGTGGTGGGACTGTCTCCAAGACATTGAAGCTCTTCTGGTCAACGACCTGTGCAGACTCAGGTACAGTCCGCGCGAAAGCACAGCCAACTGCTGCGCTAGCAGCCAGGAAGACGGATGTAGATGGCATCTTGAGGTGAGATTGACCGACTGTACATCTCGAAATCGTGGAGACTGCCCCATTATATGAAGCAGCTGTCCGGATAAACCCTCCACCGTTCTCGTCCCGGCAAAGAGAATATTAGATTATCTCGGCAGAACCCATAAAGCGGCATTTTCGTCATCATGCGGCTCGCTGGTACACCATTTTCGGCATGGCATGGTGGAAGAGGGCCGATGGCGTTCAATTAGCCCAGGGTTAGAGAGGCCGGCGATGAGGCTAGGCGCAATGACCCCGTGGGGTTGGAAGGTGGAAGGTATGTCGGCACATCGCAACCCCGCCCTTGGAGTCGCGCAATGAACTTCAATTGCGTCAGAGGAAGCACGATCATGACTATTAACGAAGAGCCTTTTACTCATTGGATCATTCTTCAATACCGAAAGTTTGTTGCGCGCAAAATGTAGGCTAAATTATCGTACGGTACTTCGAATGCAGCTTGTCGTATGTTCCTTGCTTCCCGATGCACACCAAGCCGCTGTGCCTTCTTGGCACAACAGTTTGACCGGTCGGGGTTACTCGACCCGCTACCCGTTACCGACGTGCTTTGAACAATGCACCAGAAGCCTAGATTCATCTTTTCGTATCCAAGGCCACGGGCGGAGATACATTGCCACATGGGGTTGCCGCAGAATTGGAGACTCCTGGTCAACACGCCCATGTCCCTATATCTCCCAAAAAGCTTAGCCTTTTCTTATCGATACATCCCAGGTAGAATAGCTACGGATGCTATGTGATCGGCCGTTTACATGCAGATTTGACCGTAGGATTCAGCACTGTCGACATGCAAGTGCCTTTACGCCTTCTAGATTCTGGAATTCCAAGTCTCGGGCAGTCATTGTCAGCTCACAAATATTGTCGAAGAGCTAGCTCATCGCTTTTTTTACCTAGTCCAGAAGGTAAGCACGCTTCCCGTGTCACTTGAATCAAGAAAACTCTCTGCGGCTTTTGCCCGTCCGACACTACGACAACCTATCCAGGTACTTCGCTTCTGATTATAGAGGGAAGGCGTGGTTCTATCTATGTGAATAAGAGGGAACAGCGAACTCCAGCGCAAATCAACTCCAAATAGACTTCCAAAGACCAAGGGGGAGAGTCAAAAAGAGCTTGAAAAGCAAGTATATCAAGAAGGAGCTTACACCTCTCTCCCAATAGTCAGCTTATCTTCGGCGCCGGACACCAGAATATCTCGTCAATTCAACCCAAATGTGTCTCCCATACTAAAGTCGTAAGCACACGCGCATAGCCACGTTTGCTATGGCACGCGAGCCCTATATTACCGGCACTTCTAAGTATGCCACTAGAACTTTCTGACAAGCTATCCCTTCATACGCCATGCACAAGGCATAACATGACCGCACTTGCAGAGAAAGATCAATGCCTAGTCAGTCTGTCATTACAGCGGCCTTGTATTCTCCATGGAAGTAAGGATCATCCTTGGTGTACGTTCGGTATTTAGACAACTGTCTTGGTACATACACGGCACCAATACCCAGTGTAAGCCAAGGACTGAAGCCCAGTCTTGTGAAAGGGACTAAAGCACATGATCTCCTCTCGCACCCTCCATCTTCCTTCATGGGCTGGAATAGACGCAATGGCGGTGCAGTTCAGCATATGACATCACATCACAAGTCGCAAGAAAGATTAAAAATTTGGGTCATGAAATCGTGAGTGATATTGCTCTTTCAACATTACCCTTCCATGGCCGCCGTCCCCACCCACCGCCGTAACCCAACCGGCTCCAAGAGACCCAGCCTCCGCAACTCCACTCAGAACCCCCTACGTTGATACAGTAAAGCCGTACCAGTCATTCAATACGAAAAGAGAAGAAGACAAAGAAGAAGAACGCCAATCCCCATTCGCGCTATTTTCCAGCTGCGAAGGTATCCTCGTGGGGGGATGCAATATGCAACGCACAAAACTCCAAGATGTTGGCCAAACCCAAAACCTGCCCGAAAAAGGGACAACCTTGTTACCCCAAGATATCGTGGCCGTAACGTTCAGAAGCTCGTAATAAGAACAGTGATGAGAAAACAAAGGAAAAGTGTAAAACAGAAACAGGCGACTCGTCGCAGAGTGAGTCGTGAAGCATCAGAAGTGCTTTCCCCTTTTTTCGATCTCAAAACGCCAGATCGTCAGAATAGTGTACAAGGGTGATGTTGATGATGATGATGATGATGTCGAGGTACCACAGTATCGCAGGACATTCGGAAAATGGCTGCAGATGCACGTCGTAACCAAGACAGTGTTTGTGCGGAGTAAACGGAGCGGAGTAGTAACAAGAGAACAATAGTGAATGATGAGCAGCCTCGCGTAAGCGCTTAGCTCATATCCATCATGTCCTCGAAGAGGCCATCCTGGTGTTCATCGGCATAAGTGGCAAGGACTTCATCGCTGGGTCCGAAATTGCCTTCGTAGATGGTGGCACCAGCGCGGCGTCTTGACTCAACCCATCGGCAACCGTAGCATTGAAGGACTTGCTCGGCAGTAGGTCGCATGTCGGGGTCTCGGTTCAGCATGGCGTAGACGACATGATCCATCGAGTTAGGGTCGTTGCGCTGCACCATGAATGAAGGTGCGCGGGCCAGCTCCTCTTCAGGGTTAGAGGCTGGCTTGACTGTAATGGACGCCATTGAGTCTTCTGCGGCGTCCGACATGAGGAAGCCATCCATAGAAGGCCTCGCTGGCTCAGAGACCGGGTCGCCATGGGAGTCCCGACTAAGTGTGCTACTGTCGGCGCTCCAAGTCAGACTGGGAAGCACGTTTTGAAACTCGCCAGATCGTAGCTTTTGCCAATAGTCGCCATTCTCGGGAATAACGCAGTTGCCAGCAATCTCGGCCAGCATCATGCCAAGGGCAAAGACGTCGGCAGGCTTATCGAATCGACCAGAGAGTTGCTCGGGTGCAAGGTAGTGGCGGTCGCCTTCGCCATCAATGCCAGCTGGAGCTGGCCACTGACTCGCCAGACCAAAGTCTGCAATCTTTAGTCCGCCCTCAAAGTCGATGAGGATGTTAGCGGGCTTGAGGTCGAGATGAATGTAGCCGGCATCGTGGATGGACTTGAGACCCTGCAAATGGATTAGCGGTGTTGTGAACAAAGACTATAACTAAACATACCATCAGAAGTTCGAGCAGGATCTTCCAGATGCGGAAGTCATCGAGACGGCTATTAAAGCCAACAGTGTCCAGGTATTTCCTCAAGTTACCGCCCTCGCAATACTCGGTCTGGATGTATAGGTGTTGGTCAAATTCCCAGTGGGTCTTGATGTCCAACACATGCTCGTGGCCCTGAAGAGCGTAGAGGATGTCGACCTCACGCATCTTCTTCTGACGGTCTCCTGCGCCAATGTAGGCCTTCTTCGACTTCTTCACAACCCATACTTGGCTGCCAGCGGGCGACCTCAGCGGCGAGACTTTGACCGGTTGACTCACACGATACACTGTAGAAAATTCGCCTTCTCCGCCATCGAGAGGCTTGATCTCGTGGAATCGTTCACTCAGGGACTCATCCACATCGTTCTTTGTCAGGCCGATCGGGATAGCTCCTTGGACACTTCCAAAGAAGCCGGAGTCACGTGGCGTTGTCGGTGTGGCGGGCGCAAAGGAGCCAAAGCTGCTGTTGAAGGGGAACGATCCCCGTCGGTTACCGGAGATTGACAGCTTGCTCGCATCGAGAGGGGCAAAGGACTCGTGCGCGGGAGTTTGGGGTGACGGTGCGCCAAAGAGGCTTCCAGCTGCTGTAGATTGTTTAGTATTGCTCTCGCTATCCGACGACTGGAGAGATGTGCGGGCAACCCGCCGCGAAAGAGACAGAGGGCGAGCCAACGTATTGGCTTGCCGCAGCAGTCGACTCCTATTCGCGTTGAGGGCATATGCGGAGGGGGACTTATTAACCGTTGACTCAGACTCAGCGTCCTCTGACGAGCTGTCTTCATCCGGAAAAGCCACTGAATCTATACGAGATGTGTACTTACTCGTTGGCCGACCATCATTGTCGGGTACCGCAAAGGTGTCTTGACCAATGGAAGGGCGCGAGCGGAACGTCTTACGGCGCAGGCTGCTCTCCTTTGAACGACGGCTGGACCCATTACTGGGCTTGGTCGGTGTGGGTGGCATGTCATCTGCACTGGATTGACTGTCACCCATCCGGTTCGCTGTCGGTGATTGTGTGTCTGGCTGGACATCTTCGTCGTTATCACCGTCGATACTCACGAAGCTGCCTCGGCGTTGCATGGTCCCGCTCAGACCACCGAAGATGCTTGGTCGACTGCCGAGAGCATCTGTTGTAAATTTGGATACGTTTGCACTGAACGGTGTGCTCGGCGTGCCGAACTGATGTTGTGGGCGAGCTTCATTGCCAAAGAGGCTACCATTCCTCTTGACCAAGGGTGTGTCAAGGTTGACAGTGCGGTCTGCTGCAGCAGGGGGGAAAGACTGGCGCTTGGATGGCGTGTCGGGCATGACATAGATGCCTCCTGCTGCTGGCTCATCAGCATTGCGGTTCTTCTTGGATAGAAGGCCAGTCGAGAAGGCGACGGGTGCCGGTGGCGCAATCTTGAAGGGTGTGTCGAACGAGTCTTGCGTCGACTGCTCACCATCTGGGGCATGTGGGCGCCCGATACCGATGGGAAGTGAGCGAGAGAAGTGTGGGTTGTTGGGCATCGGAGGCGGGGGGAATGCAGGGCCGCCCCATTGAACAGCTGGAGCCCGGGGAGGAGCCATTGGTGTGCCGCTCAGGCTAGATGAAGCAGACGTTGGTGTATGCGCGTGCGATAGCGGGTGCGGCTGTGCTGCACCGGCCCCGCGAGGGAATGGCGTTGGCAAGCCCATGCGCCCGGCGTCAAAGGTAGACTTGCGGAAAGGCGTCTGGACGGGCCCTGCTTGGGTGGTTGAGTTGACGGTGCTGTCGAGGGACATGCGGTTGCGCGTCTTGGAGGCGGCGGCTCCAGGCATTGCGAACTCGCTATCGTGGCTCGGCTTCCGTGGGGTGTTGGATCGCTGTGATAGGGTCGACCTGCGCAGTGACGTTGTGCGGCGGACTGGTGATGTAGCACCCGAAATAGGTGAGCTGTTGAAGGAGAAGCCGTTCGTCATGTCATTGTACAAGCGCGAGCTCTCGTCGGCAGAGATGCGCGGTGCGGGGGACGGGTCGAATATACTCTCAAAGTCGTTTCCGAGGCTCGACACGCCGTGCAGGCTCCGGCGCTTTGCCATGGGACTGGATCCGGGCGAACCGCTGAGGTTCATCAGTCCGTCATTGCGCTTGAGCGGGCTTGACTTTGCTGGTGGCGCGGGCGACAGCTCGGGGCGGCGCGCAAACTCGAATTTGATGGGCTTGTCGTCAACTTCGAGTCGCTTGTCCATGTCCATGGTGTCGGGGGACTCTGCGCTTGGGCGTCGCGCGGGGGTGTTTTCTTGGCCGGGCGAGTGTCGCGTAATGAAGGGCGTCGCGTTGCCCACGTCGGAGGTCTCGGCCAAGGCGCGTCGCCGGGGACTCTTGGAGTTGCTGTTGCGCGTGCGCGGCGATGACCGGAAAGGGCCTGAGCGTCGCAAGGAGAACTTCTTCTTGGCCGGTGCAGCTTGCGCTAGTGGTGACTCAGGGAAGTTGGCGATGGGGCTGGTGACCTTGTTCGCCTTGGGAGAGAATGCGCGCGCAATGGCGAGGGGCGAGATGGGAGAGCGGGGCGTGTCGGCGTTGCGGAGTTGGAAGCGCGACTGTTTGGAGGGTGAGCGCGACAGAGAGCGGCGGAGCTCCTGGAGGTGGGAGAAGTGGGTGCTGTCGAGTCGATAGCTGTGGGGTCCGGTTGGTGAGGGAAAGTGCATAGTGCCACATTCGCGACTGGGCGAATATCCGTAATCCATGGTTCGCGTAGTGAGAGCGACTCAATGCAGAGTTTTGCTCGTGACCGTGGCGTCTGGAGTGAGTCGGGATGTTTTGGGATGAGACGGGCAGATGGCGGGCGGCGATGTCTCCCGTGACGTGTTGTCGTGTTTTAGGCAGGCGCAGAGTGCATGGAGATGGGTGCAGTCTTCAGTCGATAGCGATGGCGCGGTAGTCCTGCTGGCGCGTGGTGGATGCGGGCCGTGGTATGAATGCGTGCAATGTCGTCGGCAGGCGCGCGATGGCGTAGTGCTCGATGCTGGCCGGGTTCCGTGATTCCACCTTCAACAAGCAACGGCCGAAGTGCGGTGGTGCTCCATACAAGGCCTGGTGATGGAGGGTCCTGGTGGGGAAAGGATGGCTGGAGGTGGAGAGAGCGTGTTGATGTTGACGGCGTGTCGGAGGGTGATTTGCTGTGTCGTGTACTGGGGAAGCGAGGGCGCAGGCGTCGCGTGTTTACCTCCGCACGTTAGGCAAGTATAGTCGCAACACACGGCAGGCGCGTCACAACGTGATGATGCAATGGCGAGGGGAGAGTGCAAGCGATCGAGCGATGGAGAGACCCTTCTTGCGCTCGATAGCGATCGGCTGGGAATGCAGTGGTATATGAGAAGAGACGCGTTCTCTCATGTGCAGGGTGTCTTTTCGCCGGGCGTGTGGCAGGAAAGTTGGGGCGTCGGGGCCCGTGCATCCCAACCCGCCTATTACTTCGTGACGCCCTGCAGCGAAGCCCGTTAGCCCTGCCTGCCAATCGAATCCACGGCTGCAGCACAAAGTGAAGCAGTCATAGAGGCGACCCGCGTGGGCTCTGCAAATATAGACACGTAGAGCTCCACCGCTGCCAGACTGCTGCAAGTCAGTCGCACTGCGAGGCGCTGCAGCGGAGCTCTTGCCACGTTCAGGTGTGCGTGTTTACGTGCTGTGTTTGTTGATCAACACGCAGAATCAAAACAACACCAAATCCTCGCCACCACCGCTTCTTCCCCAACCACAGTATCGGCACCAGGGCGCTCGAACCACGCGTCGACCCATCCCCCTTCTATGCCCAAATTAGCAAATCTTATCGTCTTCATGCCATCGGGTGGCCGAGTCGCGCGGAATAGGGGCTCCAGCTTTGCGCCCGCCTGCCACCAGTTCGGCGGCCCGCGTCACAATCTTAGCCCTCCCCATTATGATTGCCTCTGCAGCTCGCCTGCAGCCTCCCTATCGATTGCACGCATCTTCGCCTATTCAGCTATCGATAGGCTTTGCGAGTCGTAGGAAGCATCTTCTTGTCCATATTGCTTTGCCTGCAGTTTCAGCTGACTGCCTGTGCAAAGTTTATGGGCGTCGTCATCAGGATCCTTCCAGCTGATTCTGAGTATTGCCCAAGACGCGTCTTCGCGTTGTTTGCGTCAACAGCGCCGTACAACCGGACTCCCCTCCCTGCCTCAACTTTGTCCGATCGCACAGCTTGCTGCGATCGAGGGTTGTGCTCATGATGTTTGGTCTGCACCTAGCCATCCGTCCATCCCCATGGCGTCGGGATCGAGAATGTGGTTACACATGACGTAGTCTTGTGATCTCTCCCCCAGCTTTCGATGTGAGAGCCATCCCGTGAACGCTGAGCGGATGAGCTATCGATATGATACGCGCTAAAACCTCACAAGGCTGCTGGTAAGTGGTTTTAGGAGGCGGACCGTGTGCCGCTCGATAGTCTCTTCGAAAGAAGTGTGCCCACGAGGCCTTCTTCGAGGCCACGCTTCGTGGTGGTTGCGACTACTTCACCACTAACCGCCGGGAAGGTGCGGCTACGGATCGTGCCTGCTTCATCGATCAGACGTAAAAGCACGTGGGTATTTGAGTGTCCATCACGCGTCAAGATCATCGCGTCATCGTGAAAAACAACTTCCTGATACCGCGACTTCGCAAATCTGCATCATGTGGCCGCATCTGCGACCTCATTGTTATTCCACTAGAAAGATCCCCGCTAGCCTACCGTTCAACATACAGTACTGCAGGAACGCGCTCTGGATGCCATGTTTTCCTGTTTCATCATCGCCGTACCTGCCTTAGCCTCTCGCGCGCTTCCCCCTTCTACGTCCACATGGTTATCTATCGTTGCTACCTTCCGACATCGGCATTATCCCATACCCTCAATCTAGTAGGAAGCTCACATAGTGGTCTGTGGAACGAACCTGAACGCGTCCGAACACATTATTCGCTGCGTCCTGCATCCCGACCAGTTCCGCAAGTCACGATATTGCATCGACAGAGTTTGGCTCGGCATTCAAAGAAGAAACGCGCTATGGGCATACAGCGACATGTCTTGCAGCCAGCCTTAGCCGCACCTGCAGCGAGCATCAGCCTTATGATACCCCAAGTTTGGTGTTTCAACGCGTGTTTCAGATTCGCTACTTCGTGGCTCTGATTATTGTCAAGGCCATGTGGCTTGTCGCCCTGTTCAGTCACTATGGTAACATCTGCTGGACTGTCGCCCTGTCTATGATTCCCATGGTAACTATTTCTAGTCGTCTCACTAGACTTGACGACAATGCGGGGAGATGAATTGGCTTTTCAACAGGAGGTTCTCGGGGCCAGCATCACGACCGTGGATGGACGGCCACAAGGTAAGAATTTGCGTCAAAAACTTGTTAAAACTTCTACAATCAAGGTTTCACCCAGGAGTTTGCCTAAGAAAACTCACATGGCTTGCGCGTCAGGAAGCGGAGAAGAGACTATCGGTCGGACTTGGGCCGAATAGTAGACGCCCAACATCGACAGCTGTCAAGAGTGGCGAACACAGGGTCCTCCCGTGGCAGCATCTTGGGATTCACAGGGTCTGGAGATGATCTGTTCCCACTGTTCATCCCGTCGCTAAGGTGACGCAAGATGTGCTGCCGTAGATGCCCAATGCTGCGCGTCTTCTTCGTATTGCGCATATTGCGGCCACTAGAAGATCCTTGGAGGCTATATTCGGGCATGGACCGTGTGAGCCGTCCCCTTATCGTGTACTCTTCGGGTAGAGTCAGAATGACGACGAAGCTCTGCTCGGACATCTTGGAGTAAGTCAGATAAGAAGTACTATGATGTTGGTCAAGCCTGGCACCGTGTGTTGTAATTCGTAACACACTTTGCCCCAAGGTTGCATTACAGATACTACCACGAACTTTTTTGAAAATGTGTAATAGCTGACAACTGCTACGGCTGTCTCATGTTTCAAATCGAAATGACGAAACCTTGTCCAGTATTTGTCGTATGTGGGGTGGTCAAAGGATGAATTGATACACGTGCGATGCCTGCAACTCCCAGGCACTGTGTCTACAGTAACATGTATTTGCAATGCGTTCATGACTACAGGAGAGTGCAGCGGTGATGTGAGGTATGAGTCCCCATAACCGGATGGAAAAACTTTGTTCCCGCGGGTTGCCAGTCAATGGCGGGGTGAGTCAAATCAAAAAGTTGGCGGGGCATATATCTCGTCGCGCAGCCCACACGAGCAACACCGAACATCGCAACAATGGCGGACGAACAACCTGCACAACAGCCACCGGCTACCGATACCAAGGACTTGCACACCGACCCAGTCACCGGCGAGAAAATCTCCAAGAGTGAACTGAAGCGTCGCCAGAAGCAGCGCGAGAAGGACGAGAAGAAGAAGGAGAAGGAGGCGTCGCTACCTGCGCGGCCCAAGAAGGAGAAGAAGGACGACGTCGAGGAATTGAACCCAAACGTGCGCATCGAACTTGCCTCTTTCAACTGATCCTGTTGCTCACCAATTGCAGCAATACTTCGAAATCCGGTCTAACAAGATCAACGCTCTCCGCGCCTCCAAGCAACCCAACCCGTACCCGCACAAGTTCCACACCAACTACAAGCTCGCCGACTATGTTCGCGACTACTCGCACCTCAAGAAGGGAGAGACTGAGCCCGACAAGGAGATTCGCATCGGTCTCCGCGTCATGACACAGCGCTCTGCCTCCAACGCGCTGCACTTCTACGTTTGTACGTATATTGGATGCAACAATATCGTCATAGCTGACAACGTCCAGGCAAGGCTGAGGGTGTCAACATCCAGGTCATGTGTCAATTGCAGGAAGCCAAGGCCGACGTGCCCTTCGAGAAGCAGCATGAGAACATCCAGCGCGGAGACATCATCGGCGTCATCGGATACCCAGGTCGCACCAGCCCCAAGAAGGGTGGTGAGGGTGAGTTGAGCATCTTCGCGCGCGAGGTGATCCTTCTCACACCTTGCTTGAGGATGTTGCCGACGGAGCACTTGTGAGTTCACTTCAGAACTTTAGGCATGATGGTACTAATACTGCACAGTGGCTACAAAGACCAGGAGCAACGTCACCGCAACCGATTCCTCGATCTCATCATGAACGACTCAACACGCAACACCTTCATTACTCGGAGCAGGATCATCAAGGCCGTCCGCAAGTATCTCGACGAAAGGGACTTCTTGGAAGTTCAGACACCTATGATGAACAAGATTGCTGGTGGTGCGACCGCGCGACCATTCAAGACATACCACAATGAACTCGACATGGAGCTTTACATGCGTATCGCGCCTGAGCTATACCTCAAGGAGCTCGTAGTGGGAGGTCTGGAGAGGGTATACGAGATCGGCCGTCAATTCCGTAACGAGGGTATCGATCTTACCCACAACCCCGAATTCACCACCTGCGAATTCTATATGGCGTACGCCGACTACAACGACGTCCTGAACATGACCGAGGAGCTCGTCAGTGAGCTGGTCAAGGAGGTCACAGGCGGTTACGAGACCGTCTACCACACTCAGAGCGGCGAGGTCTACAACGTCAACTGGGCAAGGCCATGGAGGCGAGTCGAGATGATCCCGGCATTGGAGGAGGCCACCGGCGAGAAGTTCCCACCAGCGGATCAGCTACACACTGCCGAGACCAACGAGTTCCTCAAGAATGTACTCAAGAAGGTCAAGGTCGACTGCTCAGAACCTCGCACCAACTCAAGAATGATCGACAAGTTGGTTGGTGAGTTCATCGAGGAGACTGCTATCAACCCTACATTCATTATCGGTCACCCCGAGGTCATGTCGCCACTTGCTAAATACCACCGCGATATTCCTGGTCTTTGCGAACGTTTCGAGGCCTTTGTATGCAAGAAGGAGATCTGCAACGCTTACACTGAGCTTAACGACCCCTTCGATCAGCGTCTGCGATTCGTAAGTTCGAAATAATTGCACCGAGAAGATGTATATTAACATGTGTACAGGAAGAGCAAGCGAACCAGAAGGCGGCCGGTGATGACGAAGCACAGCTCATTGACGAGACCTTCTGTCAGTCGCTCGAGTACGGTCTGCCACCCACTGGTGGTTGGGGTATGGGCATCGACCGTCTGGTCATGTTCTTGACCGACCACTACTCCATCAAGGAGGTGCTCACCTTCCCCTTCATGAAGGACATTATTGAGGTCAAGACGCCCGCAGCGGAGGTCGTCGATGTAACGCCCAAGCCCACCGAAGGCATTCGTAAGTCCATCTTAGTCTGATTTGATTGAGGTTTGCTAATTCCATCCAGCACACAAATAGTTTCAACGTAGCATTACTGGCGTATGGGGTGGTTTGGCAATCATAGTAATGGATACGGATCATGAGCCATGTTTCACGAATGTGTCAGACCTAGACAACCGAATATGAAAACATGAACGACTTCAGGACAGACGAAGAACTCGGATTCTGATTAGCGGCCAATGTTCTCGTGATGCATCCAAGAGAGATATACTAAGTCATTTTCTGCGAACGTCTTGCTTGAAGCACGGGGAATACCTTTGGGTGATTTGCGACGTGAAGGACAACTCTAGGAGGGAAAAAAGCCTATTCGTACATAACGAGCACTCTCTTCGACAATTGCGGACAATGTCGCGTGCTTTATTCGCGGTGGGAGACAGGAGCCGATGTCTGAGCAGAACAAGACAGTTTGATCGCGTGCTGTATATGGACAATGGGTTTCAGTTTTCGGCTCCCCGCCCGCGGGCCCTGCCGCAACGTTTAATGCCCGAACAGCGAACCGCGACACCATTGCCGCAACATTATCGGCGTGCGTGAACTTGTGCCGAGCGGGAAGCCTATGAATAGATTGGCAGCTTATATATGATATTTCGAATCGAGTACTGATGCGTCTTCATCCCAACTGTCCACCTTTCGTCAACGCGTTGCTGCATCTCTGGATACGGATTGCGTCATACTAAGAAGATAGATACACACTATATCGAGGGAATACTGCAGCAAATATGGCAGCACCAGGGGGCAAGTTCTTCATCCAAGAGAAGCTGAAGACGCCGGCGAAGCACCATGAGTCCTATGAGCAGCTTTGGGAGACGAAATGGAAGAAGCCTGTATGTACATCACCAGATACTCTAACTACATACACGAAGACCGCAACCACATTGGATTCCACCACTGATACTTCATAGGCGGAAATGGGCGTATACCCCTTCATGTTCGGCACCGCTTCCGACTTCGAGCCGATAGTAAAAGAGATGGTATCCAAAGACATGAAAGAGCCCTACAACTGGGACGAATACGCCAAAATCTACTTCCCACAAGCCGAAAAGCTTAAGTCCATAGCCGAAGAGGCCGAGAAGAATGGCGAGAAAGAGAAAGCATCAGAGTACTACTTGCGCTCCAGCGCTGTGTACCGCATCAGCCGCTTCCCAGCACCACGCAGCGAAGTTCAGCGCGAAACCTGGAGACTAGGCAAAGAAGTATGCATCAAAGGCCTAGGAATGCGGGAGCATCCAGTCCATGAAGTCATGATCCCACACAAACATCGCAACCAAGACGAAGGCGAACACATACCCGTGTATCACCTCGTCCCGGACAGCGCCTCGAAAGAAAACCCCGTACCCACCCTCATCATCTTCACCGGACTAGACGGATACCGCACTGAGCTAGCCGTATGGATGGAAGGCTGGCGCCGTGTCGGCGTCGCAACCATCGTCCTCGAGATACCCGGCACAGGCGACTGTCCGGCCACGGCGTCCGACCCAACATCTCCAGACCGTCTCTACAGCTCGCTCTTCGACTGGGTAGCCACGCAACCGCGTCTCGACGCAAAGAAAATCGCCATCTGGGCCTTCAGCACAGGCGGGTACTACGCCATGCGCGTCGCGCACACACACGCTCCTAAGCTCGCGGGCGTCGTCGCCCTCGGCGGAGGCTGCCACCACATGTTCGCTCCTGAATGGCTGGACAATGTGAATCACCTTGAGTATCCCTTTGACCTCGCCAACACACTGGCCTACAAATGGGGCTACGGCAACGACGTCGAGGCCTTCAAGAAGGAGGCCATGAGCAAGTTCTCGTTGCTGAATGATGGCACGCTGGATAAGCAAGAGTGTGCGAGGTTGCTGCTGGTGAATGGGACTGAAGATGAGATTTTCCCGATCGATGATTATTATCTTGCGTTGATGCATGGGGCACCGAAGGAGGCGCGGTTTGTGCAGGGGTTCAAGCATATGGGGGAGCCGGAGAGCTTTTTTGTTATTATCAAATGGTTGTATAAGTTGTTTGGGTTGCAGGCGGAGGTGGGGAAGATTATGGCTACGTTGCCATTCAAGCCGAAGTACTGAGTGGATAGTTGGGGAAGAGGATGGAGATATATAATGAGGGACTTGATACTGGTTGGCAGGAAAATGGTCTCGATTCTTGAATCACATAGTCTTTCTGCTACCATCTTTTGGCTGGAGCAGCGTCCTAGATCATCAGTTGTTACTCGTCTCTCTCCGAGAAACACATGACATGTAGGAACTCGTGTTTTGCAGGCCCTCTTATGTCTAATAGCCGAAGCCAACAAACAGGTCATGGGGAATTTGAACACAAGTTCCGCTGAACAACAGTCGAAGCAACGACGAGCGCGCAGCGCCATGTACGATCGGGTTTTTGTTTCAGGAGAAGAGGACGGACATCAACAATAACTGTCCGAATTTTGGTAATAAACACAAAGCAGATGTGTGAGTCAAGAGGAAAGAGCAAAAGGACGAAAGATGAGTGTCTTTATACCCAAGCCCACACATCGTTCGTATTTTGAGCCAACACCTCTGCTCGCATGATCTGTACCGCATTGTCTTTGGTTCTATCCATTGTAAGCGCCCTAAGCGAGCAAGGAGTACACATCAGTTTTGACTTTTGAGATTTCGAAGCCAAATGCTCACAGAGAAGCAGGTTCTCGTATCTCTTGATCTTTTGAAAAAGGCAGACGATTGCTCATGCTGAGCGATTGTGTTCTTCTCGATACCGAAAGCTCAAAGAAAGAAATGTCAAAGTAAGCTTCAGTTCTGAGAGAGACAGACATATTGAGGTCATCAATTGTTTTTGGAAAGGGTAAGAGCAGAAGGCTGGAATGTAGACAGGAAGTTGAAAGACGAAAATTTGGGTACTTTTTATACTTGGATAGTGAGGTGTGCACTTCAAGCGTTTCCCAGACATGTGTGCTTTCTCGACAGTGATAATTAGCGGAGACAGGCGAATGCAATATAGGCGGAGAACGACATGTATTTTGTATAGTTTTGTTCTAGGCTATGGCAGCGAATCCGCCAAAGGCAGACATGGGCCATTTCTCTTGTTGTTTCGGTGTGACTGAAGCAGGCAAGGCTGACCATGGTCTTGCTTCCTGGGTCTTTTGGAAACAGCGAGAAGGACATGAGCAACGATCGTGTACCTTTTTGTTGCAAAAACGTGAATAGAGTATGGTAGAAGAGACACGGCCTTGAGCGAGAGCAATTTATACTCTTCGACCGCCTGCGAGATAGCACGTGCACACCATCCCGTCTTGCGGTGTCACTGGTGAAAGCCTTAGGATAGCCATGTTCACTCCTTGCAATGATTTCCAGAAGAGGTCAAAAGTATAACAATACCCATTATTATGTACATTTTTATGTACACGTAACGCCGATAATGCATCACTCCCATCTTTCCCATCTACTTCGAACCATCCATCCGTCAGTCGTGACAACTTCAAAACGTCGAACCCCATCAGCTATGTATTTGTTCCGATACCCAACACTTTCAACCCTTGATATCGCCCTTCAGCCCACCATCAACACCACCCTTTCCGAACCTGTATCCGAAACTGACGGCTACAGCACAGAACAATCCAAAGCAGAGTAGCGTAGGACCCCAGCGATCGTGGTACGTAACCGCTCTCCTTTCCTTGATCTTGTTCACTCTCCATAGGTACAAGCCTGCACTGTAGCAGAGCGCGATACAGGCGATGATGGTAAACGCCCACGCAGCCGCAAAAGCAAGGGGGTCACCAAAGTTGAGCAGGGTTGCGGCAATGGAACCGATGAGGATGGAGAATTCGAGCCAGGAGAGGAAAGTGCGCTCGGTGGCTAGTTGGACTTTGGGTTCGACGCGGACGGGGACGTGGATGCCTGATAGTATGTTAGTTCGGGCTGGCAGTGTGAGATGATTGGATTAACTTACGCTTGCCCTTGGGAGCCTTGAACCTCTTCACCTCTCCCTTTTGCTTCCATGAGGGTACACCAAGGGAGAAGCCCCCCTCACCAACGTCGGTAGGAGTTGGCTTGGGGATAACGGTGGCGACTGTCGAAAGCAGTGTTGAGCCCACGTTGGTCGCAGTGCGTTCTACCCATTTCCGCGCATAGCGGAGACCTCCCTGTTTCTTGGCTGCCTCGTACTCCTCATCTTCGTCGTCGCTGTCAGAGTCGTAGATGGGGTAATCTTCGTCGCGAGTGCGTCCTGCGGCGACACGCTCTTCAATGTCCAGCGCATTGGGATCGTTGCCATTCGTAAGAGTGCCGTAGTCGCGGGTTCTTTCCATCTCGTTTTGTTCCATGACGTCCCTTGCCTCGCGCAGCCGCCTTAGTCGGTCATCGTCCTCATTGCCGTTCGCAGCAGGAAGGCCCATGACGGCATCCTCGTCTTCGCTGTCATCGTCATCAAGGTTACCGCTTGTGCTGATGTCGTTGCTCGCTCCGGGACGCTCGATGCCAAACTTGTGACTAACAGGCTTGCGAATGTCGACGTCCATCTGCGGGTACCAGTATGGGATCAAGTTGATGCGCTTGGGATTCAGCGTGGCTGTGCCGTGGATGTACTTGGAGAACTTGGGCACAGCTTCGACAAGATGGGAAGACGTGAGGTCGCGGATCCACTGCGGTGGCTCTCCTCCAGCCTGTGTCTGAAGCTTGACCTCGAGCACAGCATAAGGGAAGAGCTCCTTGTCCTCCTTAGGCAACTGCTTGAACGGCCAGTCTACACCAATGTCCATGCGACGCCAGTTGTCACCAGCACGTCTCTTGCCGTCTAGGTTGTCCTCGCGGGTCATGGTGAGCTCCGTGTCGAGTGAGATACGAACGCGAGCATCGCCTGGAAGCTGGAAAGCGGTACGGTGGTAGAAGGAGCGTGTAACGGGCTCGAGCTTGCGGGTAAGTACGCGATACTGGATCTCTCGGGCCAGCTGCTCGTCCGAAGCGATGTCTTTCTCGGGTCTCTTCTGCTCCCTGCGCTCCTTCTCGAAGATCTG